AACTAACAGGATTGGCTTTTCAAGGAAAAAGGAGTGAACTCAGGTCTCTGCCGACCTCCTGAATGTGAAAATCTCTTCTCAGTGATTTATCTGTATCCAGACTGCAGTACCTTGGAGTCAGTTTTCTTCCTCTGTCATTGGTTCTGTTATTGGATAAACAGAGTAGGAGATGCCAGTACTTGTATGAGCTTTGGATTTTTCTTATCTTACCAGTTGTGTTTCAGGTGCCATCAAGTTGGCTCTGACTCATAGCAACCCTGTGGACAACAGGATGAAACACCGCCAGGTCCTGTGGCAGCCTCACGATCCTCCTGTGGCAGCCTCACGGTCCTCCTGTGGCAGCCTCACGGTCCTCCTGTGGCAGCCTCACGATCCTCATTGCTCATGAGCCCATCACTGCAACCACCGTGTCAATCCCTCTGGCTGAGGGTCTTCCCCTTTTTTATGACCCTTTACTTTACCAAGCACGATATCCTTCTCCAGGCACCAGTCCCTTCTGACAACATGAGCAAAGTAGATAAGACAAATTCTGGCCATTTTTGCTTTTAAGGAACACTCTGGCTGTACTTTTTCTAGGACAGATTTGTTTGTTCTTCTGGCAGTCCACAGTATTTTCAGTATTCCTTGCCAGCACCACAATTCAAAGACATCAATTCTTCCCTATTCATTGTCCAGCTTTCACATTTGTATGAGGCCATTGAAAACACCATGGCTTGTGTTGTGGCACAGTGCGTAAAGCATTTGACTGCTAACCAGAAGGCTGGAGGTTCAAACCCACCAGCCACTCCTTGGAAGGAAGGTTGGGCAATCTATTTCTGTAGTGATACCACCATGGAAACCCAAGGAATGGTCGCTATGAGTCAGGTCCGACTCAATGGCAGTGAGTTTGGGTTGGGCTTTGCTTGTTAGCATCAGTAATTATGATAACAATAACAAAGCAGAAAATTATCAGGTCTTACTGGAAAGAATGTTAAATCAAGCTCAGAAAACCTACTCTTAATCCCATATTTGAATCAACCTTCTGGTTAACCTTGCAAAATTTATTTAAACTCTCTGAACATCAGCATATTTTTTTGTTAAAGAAAGATCCTGGCTGCTTGGAACTGGAGGGTTGTTCTAGCTGTACAAACTAATGATAGTTCCCCTTATTACAAACATCACTGTACGTGGGATTCTTAATATAGGACATACATTTTGCTACAGATGTGGGAAAGTTATGACTTCATTTCTATTTTCACCTGTACCATGTAATTACAGAGATACATCAAAATAAAGGAAAAAAACAAACAGATTTCAACTGTACATTAGTGCTTGTAGTTTACCCAATGGCACATAACATAACAACAGTTTATTGTGTATTTACAGAGTTTTATAAGAGCAAAGTATTCAATTATAGTACTTATTTTTCTTAGATTTATTTTTCTAGAAGTATTCATATGCTAGCTTGTTGTTATTGTTATGTCCCATCGAGTTGGACCCGACTCATAGGAACCCCTCTTTGGGTTTTTGAGGCAGTATCACTACAGAAGTAGATTGCCCAAACTTCCTTCCAAGAAGTGGCTGGGGGGTTTGAACCGCCAGTCTTCTGTTTAGCAGTCAAGTGCCTTAGGCACTATGTTACCACAGCTCATATGCTAGCTGTTGTTGTTGTCGGACCCAACTCATAGCTACCCCTCCTTGGGTTTCCGAGGCAGTATCACTACGGAAGTAGGATTGCCCAACCTTCCTTCCGAGGAGTGGCTGATGGGTCTGAACCGTCAGCCATCTGGTGAGCAGTCAAGTGCCTTAGCCACTATGCTACCAGAGCTCCCATATGCTAGCTAGTACGGGGCTTTTGGTTGCAAATGGGGAAAAAGAAAAAAAAAAAAAATTTACAAAATAATCTGTGAATTAAGGCTTTGAGCCTGCAGGTGGTGCTATGATGCCATTTTGAAAGTCAATTTTGCTTTTTAGTTTAAATTCATAGGAAAAAGGCAGTTCTTCAACTTAGTTCCTTTTGATTCAGAGGTAATAAATTTGAATTATTTCTATTTATTTTGGTTTTTCATTATTAAAGTGGGGGAAAATTTCTTTACCATTGGAAAATATCTACTTATATCAACCCTACATAATTCCTTAGACTCAATAATAATCAACTTTTACATCTTTTTCTGGTTAGATTTTTCTGCTTCTCATTCAGCATTGGCTTGTCTGTGACTCTCAATCAACTTGCTTTGCTGTTGCTGTTCGTAAATAAAATTGCTTCCCTGAGAATTGGGTGATGAACTAAGAAGAAAAAAAATTCCATATGACAAACATTTTCAACCTCCAGTTTGTAATAATCAGGTAAAAAAAGATTTCCTGGAATTAAGCCACAGGAACTCTGGTTTAAGTCAGAGCTGTCAACTGGGAAAAAAAATTTCCAGACATTTTGAAATTTAATTCATTTAATTTTTCTTGTAACTGGATTACAAAATATGATTAAGAACGGCAGGATATTCTTTCACTGGATCAGCCTGACTTTGAACAAAGCAAATAGACAACTAAAAGTTTAAAGAAGAAGGAAGAAAGGGGGTTTTAGAGCCATTCTTTCCTGACAAACTTTCAAAAAAACAATGCAAAAGAATTAATATATTGGAAATTTAAAAACATGGAAGGGACAACATCATTTTATTTTGTTCATGAAATTGTTTATAAAGCTGCATTTTTCCTTTAAGTTCTGTTTGAGTCAATGCTAGGCTACTTTGAGTTGTCAGCCAACACAGAAGTTAAGCATTTTTCAATATTCTTTACAAATGCTTTCCAATTTATTCTTTGAAAAATGGTTGCACTTGGAAATGTTAAAGAAAAAAAACAAAACTGGAGTTGGTGTGAAAGGAAGGGAGAAAAATAAATAAAATAATTCCATATACTGCATGGACTTATAAAATGAGGAGGATGGCTTTAAAAAGAGAATTGAAAATGAATCCCTCGAGGCATGTAGTCTGATAATAATTTGTTAGTTGGATCATTTGAAATACTGTATGTGAAAGTGGTCTGGAAGTTATAACATTGTATACAAACGTGAAATAGCAGTGTGCATATTATGCTACCTTAGAGCCATTCTGAAATGTTCATCCCAGGGTTAGTTTCACCATAAAGGAAAGACATTAGTAGAAATATTGGGAATTATTTCCAGGTGCTTTTAAAATTAGGCTTGATCTCAAAGAAGATTCTATCAGGGTCTAAATTAATATCACAAAAATAACAAAGCATTTAGAGAATTGATGCTATGTAACAGGAGAATTATACATTTGTAAACATATGAACATAAGTGTTTGCTGCTTTCTACACGTGTTCTTGCATATGAAATCCATATTTTCTGAAGGAACTCCAGTGGTCTTAACTACAACACTATAATCACTCTCTTATTTCATTAGTATGAAATTAAAGATGAAAGAATTTCACATTAAGCTGTTTAAAGAAATGTAAATTTTGTTTAAAGAAAAGTAAATCTCCTCTTGATATCTTACATACTGAAGTTACTCACTATAAATTTATGTAAATCAGATATTACGGCAATTAAAGAAGAACTTCCATCCCTGTTCATCTCATGGGAGTACCACTGTGACGTCTTTCTGAGAGCTTTGTGATTGCTCAGCCCTAGTATAAGCCCTATAAAATGACGGGCTTTGAAATGCTGGTCAGGGTAGAGGGAAGAGCAGAGCTGGCAATTCATAAGCCAACCTCAGCCAGTGAAGTTCTGGTTTAGCACCAAGGGCAGAGAACTTAGAGCCTTTCCGGGCCTCTCAGGACCTCAGCACCTAGGACAGCTCCCGAGGAACATTGCTTAGCCAGGTAAGTAAAAACTTTAGTTTCTTCCTTCCTCTTTCCTTTCTTCCTTCATTTCCCCATCTCTGGATCTTTCCTCAAGGTATATTGATTTTTTCTCTCTTGTAAAGAATTTCACAATGTTCTTCCTTTGTAAAGGCAAAAAGAGAAGTTTCTCAAGTCACCTGGTAAGTATAACAAAATCTCTCAACTTCTCTCATACGACTGGAAGCTCTGAATTCTTGGGTTAGAAGATGCTTCATTCTGTCTGTCTGCTTGCTCACTGAATACTGATTTTAAAAAATGCATCCAACTGGCTTTTCTATGATTGCATGTAAATTTCGACTGAAAGATTCGGTAGGTACAGATGTGTTTGAAATTCTGGGCTGATGTTTTTTAAGTGCTGTGCTTTTTATCTCATGTGTGGTTAATTAAATGGACCTATGAAGCATTTATTTTCCTCTTTATTTTAAGTTTAAATGTTGTGGTTTTGACCAACAGCAAGAGAAACAGCCCTTGAATTCCTAAACTTCTGTCTAGAAATTATTTAGGAATAAAATGTGTAAA